CCCAACTGAGTCGTAGACTGTTACCGCAGACATTAGGTACGTAGGTATACAAAAACGCAAATGGTTAGGTAATTATTGCATCTACAAACCTTCTGTCACTCTTATTTTATGAACATCGCATTAAAATCAACGGCACTTTACGTGGCCCAAACCGCCTATGTTAACACGAATGTTTATAATACAAAAATTATGATAGCGTATAGCGTAGATACTCCTGAATCTCGCAAAAGTTAGACGTTAGGTATTTTTATAAACATAAAAGAAAATACAGATCATAAGCTGACGTTACCGACAACCTTCGCACATGGTGACTCAAGGTTCAATATCAAAAAGTCATGACTTGTCGACCTCTGTACACGTTTTTTACTTTATAATTACCTACTTATAAAGTAGAAAAAAAACCGCTAAGCTTGGATTAAACTTACGTACTTTGAAGGCAATGTATGATAGACAGACAGTTTTTGCAATTAATATCATGAAATGATGTTATCTTTTGCAGTACCTACCCATAATTATTTTGTTTTAATAATATCTATCGTCATCGTACATAATATGTAGTAACGTCGAATATAGTATATATTTATATATTCTCACATCTTAGAATTGAGAGGTGATCACGCATCTGTAGCCTTCTTTGTCTGAAGTTGTCTGTGTGTCCATGAAGTGCAGTAGCCATTTTCCTTCAGTAAGGACTGTGAGTTCGTTTGTCACTTCAATGTTATAAGTTATAACAAAAGAAAGATACCAAATGCATTTCCTGACGTCACACATTTTCTCTTCCTACTGTCAATCTAAGGTCATATTGGTGGTGTTTTGCTCATTGTATTAACTTACTGATAATGTTACTATTAGCGCAGGTCATAACCTTGTAGTGGCGGTGTAAGAATATCCACTACCCTATATCATCCCGTGGGTAACGTAAGAGGCGACAGCGGGAAAATGAAACGGGAGATGGCCAGCACCATATTCCTCATAACAAAATAATAAGAAACGGCGGTTGCCATCCCGCTTGCAAAGCATGGCAACTTTGGCAAAATCCTCCGTTGAGGCAATTTATAAGGGAGACCTATGTTCAGCAATGGACTTTTATAGGCTGTGGTTGAATGGAGGGTAGCTCAATGTCGTTCTACCATTTTCATTTAAATACTGCAGACTAAGTATATAAATATAAAATATTCATAGATTACCGGAAGTTAGAGACTGAGTCCCTATTATCTAAAAAAAATATATTAGACTAACACACAAATAAAAGCCTGTTAAATGCTTGCACCAAAAAAAGCCATACTTTAAAAACATCTTAGCCATAAACACAGTAAGTGGCCAACCGATCAGGTTTAATCTTATTAAGTAAACGTGTTCCGATAAGCACGTGCTTGTATCGTGATTGCGGCCTTTTTCCGCAAAACTGTACAAGAACAAATTTTAAATCCCAAAGTTATGGTAATGGCACAGAATAAATAATATTACTACGTAGTAATGGTACCATAGACGTATGAGGTTTTGGGAATACGCACCTAAAGACCGAATCCGGAAATTCTTAAATCATGCTAAATACATTTTCATAAACACTTACCTAATAATTTTCTTTTTACCCGACTGCCCCAGATAGAGGGTAATGTTTTTCGAGTGTATGTATATTTTGTTACGTTTTTGCCGACTGATCAGTCGGCAAAAACGTTACGGATGTATACGTGTGTAGTAAATAGTATAATGAATGACAATCAGTTAAAATAATGCATTACACATTTTGAATTTAAAAAATAGGATAGAATGTTATATTTTTTTTTTAATTAGTGTCTCTTCACCATTTGCCTATATTACTTTCTCTGAACCTTCTCTGTAAATGTGACCGGTAAATGCAAAATTAATGGCTTAAAGTTTCTCTCTCTCTCTCTTTACTAAATGACAATAGAAAGAGAATTGTTTAGAGATAATTAATCCTTAATTTACGTAAGACTTAATGAACGATTATAAGTAGGGCCGATAATTATTACATTCTGTTTTCAAACAAAAATCAGGACATATTGTGGAGAGTAAATTATGTAATAAGGTGGAATGCTTTATTTGCAAAAGCTTGGGTATAATAAAACGGGAGATGGCCAACACCATATTCCTGATAACAACTCGAAATAATAAGAAACGAATGTAAAATGTATAAAGTCAGAGACAGAGATCTGCAATAATAAATTAAAAGAAATTAATTTTCCTGACGAATTTTTAGAGTGTGGTGATAAATTTTGTAATAATTCATATCATTAAATTTGTTTGGATAAGTTATATAATAGTTTTGTCAATATTCTAAGTGAGGCAGCAGAACAAACAAAAGAGGATAAGAGTGGGCATAATAGTAAAAAGGAACACTATATAACTGGGTGGAATAAGCATGTCAGTAACGCACATAGGGAGGCTCGGCTAAAATTTCATATCTGGTTGCAATATAATCGACCTACTTATGGGTCTATATATGATGAAATGGTAGAAAGTAGAAGAATTTTTAAATCAAAATTACGTTGGTGTCAAAATAATAAAGATAGAATTAAAATGGATACCGTAGGTACACATCTTATAGACCATAATTTTGGGAAATTTTGGAAAGAAACTAATAAATTAAATGTAAAATCAGACCTACCTATGAGCGTTGACGGAGTGAATGATTCAGAGGCCATAGCCAATATGTTCAAAGAACATTTTAATGTAGAGTCTCCTCTCAGTTCTTCACAACAGATGGTCTATGCTGAGCCGAAGCGAATAGAAACACCAATTAGATTTTCCGCTAAACAGGTCAGAGAGATAATCGGAAGTATGTCTAGGAATAAGTCTCCGGGACATGACGGTCTCAGCATAGAACATCTGCAGAACGCTGGTTGTCACCTTCCTCGCGTCCTCTCCATGTTTTATTTTTCAGTATTTAACAGTGGTAGAGCCACGCGGCAGCTTTTGCTGTCGCACGGATGGGCCGGCTCGAACCGGGGTGGTACCACGACCTCACAGAAAACCAGCGTGAAGTAGAGGTTTACCTCTGCGTTTCGCTTGGTGAGTGCAGGTGGCCGGAGGCCCTCTTTACTGGAAATGAGGCATTCCATCTTAGTCCTCACGGGTGACAACGCATCTACATATTGGTTTGTAATAGAGGATAGATGAAGATGTCTATGGGCCACAGCAACCACTTACCATCAGGTGGACTGTGTGCTCGTTTGTCACCCGTATCCTATAAAAAAAAAATTCACTGTGCATAAGTCATGCTTATCTACCCAGAGATTTGATTAAAACGATAGTTGTACAAAAAGTGAAGAATAAGACTGGAGACATTTCAGATAAAAGCAATTACAGGCCTATCTCTTTAGCAACAGTGACGGCAAAGGTGCAGGCTACTAAGCAATGAGTTAGAAAAAGTTCTTCAGATTCATGAAACACAGTTTGGTTTTAGGGCAGGGCTGTCAACAAAAAGTGCAATATTAGGTTTAAAACATACAGTCAGATATTATACAGATCGCAAAACACCGGTTTATGGATGCTTCTTAGACCTGTCGAGGGCCTTTGACCTGGTGTCGTATCATATTTTATGGAAAGAACTTGCCGAATGTAATTTTTCTAATGATCTTCTGGGTATCTTCCGCTTTGGTACAATCATCAAACAAATCATGTAAAATGGGCAGATAAGCTTTCTGAACCGTACGAGTTGAAATGTGGCGTGAGACAAGGTGGAATAAGTTCACCTCAACTTTTTAACTTGTATATAAATGAGCTGCTCGAGAGACTCAGCAGCACTAAGTTCGGTTGCCATGTGGATGGAAAGTGTGTCAACAACCTAAGTTACGCCGACGACATGGTGTTGTTGAGTCCCTCGTCAGTGCGCTCAGAAAGCTTCTGGGAATCTGTGAGGCTTATGTAAATGAACATGGTCTAATTTATAATATAAAGAAAAGTGATTTTGTGTCTTTTAAAGCTAATAACAAGAGTCCCACGTACATACCACCTATTAGACTCTACAACACTGCTTTATCGAGGATATCACAATTCAGATACTTGGCACACTACGTGACCGAGGATTTGCGTGATGAAATGGACATGGAGAGGGAGCGTAGCGTAGGTTTGCACGATGCAGTAATGCCGTTAAAATAACTCTTTTTAAGGCATACTGCCAGTTTTTCTATTCGTGCTCCCTTTGGGTCAACTACACACAAAGGGCGTATAAAGCATTAAAGGTGCAATATAACAAGTCATTTAGAGTTCTTTTGGGGCTGCCTCGCTACTGCAGCACTTCAGGCATGTTCTGTGAGGCCCGCACTGACGGGTTTGACGCGATAATGCGCAAAAAAGCTGCATCGCTACTAAGCAGAACAAGGAATAGCTCCAACAGTATCCTGGGTGTTATAGCACAAAAACATGACAGTCCTATAATAATGCAAATTATTAACGTCCTGCATGGCTGACTTACCTGTGTGTGTATGTGTGCATGTATGGATGCGAGCGTGTGTGTGTGTGTGTGTGTGTGTGTGTGTGTGTGTGTGTGTGTGTGTGTGTCTGTGTGTCTGTGTGTGTGTGTGTGTGTGTCTGTGTGTGTGTGTGTGTGTGTGTGTGTGTGTGTGTGTGTGTGTGTGTGTGTGTGTGTGTGTGTGTGTGAGTGTGTGTGAGTGTGCTTGCGTGCGTATGTGTATGCGTGAATGCGTGCGTGCGTGCGTGTCATTTTACTTTCTCCGTCCACCTAGCTGTACTATTATTATTATTTTGTGATTTTTCTAATATTTGTGATATGGATCTCATTTCTTATCCGAAATAAAGATTTATTATTATTATTATAATGCACATTATCCACACTCCAAAGACCATATGGCTTCTTTACGCTGATTTTTTGTGTTCAATCCTTGGTTTGAATACCGGTAATGAATATACAAGTCACAATCAATAATAATTGTTGTAAGAGGAATATATGCTCCTCATACAAATTTCTTTTACGAGAATAAGCCGGTAATCTCAGCTATATACTTTTTTTCTTCTAGAGTGCCACGTCCCAGTCAAAACACGCAGCGCGATTCCTCCGTCTGGCTATGGCGTCTATCATGGACATCCTGAAGATCAAGCCGTTTGTCGAGGTGTCAGTTGGTCAGCTGCTCTGGGGATACGAGGACCCTCTGTTAAAACTCGCTAAGGACGTAGTGCCAAAGGAACAGAAGCTCCCTTATGAGGAGTTTGGACTTTTCTATGGGGTGAGTATAGCATAAAACATAATTAACGCTTATGACCTATAATTAAAGGCAATGATAGTAAGCATTTAGGTTGACTAAGAAGACCATAACAAACACAAAAAGTGCTAAAAATCGTTTTCTATTAATGAATGATACCATCATTAAGCAACAGAAGCCCCAGTCGTCGCAAAAGCCATAATGTCGTAGCTTCGAATCCGCCATTCGACTTCAGTCATTAATCGCTCCTATGCTTACACGTAAATAATTCTATTTCGCGTGAGCACAGTAGTATTTCTAGTATGTTTTTACTAAAAATAAAAAATATCCACTATTAGCGATTGCCATCCAACTAATGCAACATGCAACTAATGTTCACAACGACGTTAGCATTATTAAGTTCAAAAAGTTATGTATAGTTTATGTTACGCATTTATCTCGTGATCGTTAAATAATTACGAAACGTAGACTTTAACTCATTCTTGCTCTTCCAGAAAAACGGCACCGCACCGCAAGTAGTGACGATGTTCACTGGTGCGACGGACATCACTCGCTACGGCATCGTCGACAGGTGAATTTTCATTTTTTTTTATTATACCTACATCTAGTAGTTATACTATTAGCAGTGCGTACACTAATGTGTTCCGATTTGGAGGAACCAATGAGGGAGTACAGGCTGTGTAGCATTTTATCTTAAGCTCAGGCCACACGCAGCAAACAATTTCTGCATAAAAATAATTGCACAAACAACATGGTGCACTGCACAACGTCCACACGATAGCGTCTTGCATGCGCAAATAGTTTGTACAAAGTTTTTGCAAAGAACTCTTTCAGTCTTCACGTACATGCTGGCTTGTGCAACTTTAGTTTGAGCAAATGAAGCATTTGTGCAAAACATTTGCACGATATACCGTTTTAACGGCTTAACGTACATGGTTACTTGTGCAAATTAGAATTTGTGCAAGTAAGATTTAGTGATAACAATGCATGTGTTACCTTCTTTGTTTAAAGTGTCCTTGAGCTGCAGTAACAACTACCCTCAGGTTGGTTATTTCGCTTTTCACTTTATAAAAATATTTTGCCAGAAATTTGGTTTTATCATAGTATACAAACGAGCGCACAGTCTATCTGATAGAAAGTGGATGATGCGGCCTATAGATACCTACATCTATCCTCGATGAAGTGTCTCAATATAGATACGTCATCGCCTCTGAGGACTAAAATAAAATGCCTTGTTACCAAAAAATACATATTAAATATGTGAATAACATACAAATTAAGTATAGATGAAAACTATGTACCTACATTCAGCATAATATTATTCTTCTCAAATATCTAAACCGATATCCATAAAACAAAAGTAGACTGAAATATTGTACCATTGACTAATAGCTGTTAATGAAAAGCTAAAGGTAAAGACTATTTTTTTTTTATATTTCCGTGAATCCCACTGCGGCAAAGTTGTAAGTAAGTTTTGAAGATGCCGGCTTGTACAATGGTAGTATTGAGAACCATTTTAAAAAGAATTTGCTTCCGATACAAAAAAAATTACAAACGGAAAATAATTATTTAGAAACATGAGTGCAAAAAATAACATTATTAAGAGAAAATAAAAATATAACCATTTGGTTATATTTGTGTTTGGTTATAACGTTAAATTCATTGATAAAATGTGACTAAACGTCAGCCACACTGCGCCGCAAACATGGACAGCTGTCAATGAAGCATCTTGCTCAAAGGTATCCGTTGGAAAAAGCGGACGCCTCATAATTTGCCATGCGGGATCCACCGGAGGAGGATTTGTAAAAAATACAACTACTACACAAATGAAGGCCAAAATGGTGGAGGAATCAAAGAAAATTATTATGGACGACTATGAAAGAAACATTCATTTTGAATAGAAAAAAATCAATGCCAATTCAATAGAAAATCCAATAATAATTAATGTAAACAACGATGACGACGACGACGACAGCTCAACTAGTTGTAGTGAAAGTGATTAAATAAATTTATATTTAATTTAGTGCAATATCAACAAGCTGTTTCTAATTTATTCTAGTATTAATTGGGATAAAATGTAAATGATTACTAATTCTAAATAATCGATATTAATTTTTCTTATAAATTTAATATTGTAGGTACAGATTTTTAGGTTCAATAAATGTGACAGCTGTCAAATGGTATTTGACAGCTGTCACATTTATTGGTTTGAGCATAATAAAAAAAATGCCAGTTGATATCAAAAATGTTTTTTTTTTTTTTTTAGTTTCAAATGCATGTAATTACTATTCATAATAATTGAAATATTATTACGTTAAAGGAACTTCACAAGTTGTTAATAAGTGCTAAAGTTAAGAAGTTAAAGTGACAGCCTATATACATGCCACTGCTAAGCACAGGCCTCCTCTCATTGCTGAGAGGGTTTTAGGGTAAGGAAATGTCCAGCGCGTCCTGCTCCAAAATTACTAATATAACTACACATGTCTCGAAATAATTTTTTTTCTTATTTCTCAGACATGCAGGTTCCTTACGATGTTTTACTTCACCACTACACGAGCACGTGGTACTTAAAATAACAATTAAGAATTTCATTGGTGCCGGCGGGCATTGACCCGGGGTTCCTCGCGTATTGCGAAATTTACATCGAGCGCCCAGCGCCTGAACTACCACGTCCCAATAAGTGCTAGTGTTATTATTATTAGATTAACATAATATTATTTTATTGTCATCTTATCTTTATACTGACATTGTAAAAAGTTAAAATGGAACTACAGGTTATTATACCAGATCTCTGAATTAATTCAGTAAATAAATATATGTTCCATTAGGTACAACATGCTAGAGCGTCTTCCGCATTGGACGACGGACGAGTGCAACAGTTTCGCCGGCTCGGACGGCTCTATCTTTCCGCCGCACATCACCAAAAACGACACACTGAAGATCTACGACAAGGATCTATGCAGGCTGCTGCCGCTCAAGTGAGTGTAATTTTATGCAGTATTTCTTTTTAACATGGTCTACAACTAAATTAAATTTCTTTGATTTTATTTTATATTTTATAGAATAGAAAAAGGGTACACCTGATGGTAAGTGGATGTTGTGACCCATAGACATTTACATCTGTCCTCAGTTAAGAATCAAAATGCAGAAGCGTTGCCTCGTTTCTAGTAAAAATGGTCTCCGGTTCTTTACACTAATCATACAAAATACAGCACCATTAAGCAGCTATTTTACGCTGGTATTCTACTCGTATGTGTTTTTAATCAAAAATAACCAGTGCTTGAGCACTATTCCACCTGATGATAAGTGGTAATATAGCCACAGATTGTATGTGAAGCGATGGGTAAATCCGGTACACGGATCACTTTTCATAAATTGAATGGATTAACTATTTATCCCACCACTTTGTTAGAAACCACTTAATACGAGAGATTTTTTAACTGTCCATAAAAGAATCAGGGTATGCTCTATACTTCCTTATATAATATTATATTATCTATGTTCTATGCCTTCAAATTCAATTTAATTGAAAATGAATTTTATGTAACACTTGGAAATGTAAGGAATCTCAATGATTAAGGTCAATTAGTCAGTAACTACAAATAATGTTCACGGGTACACACATAAAAATTTTTACGATTTTTTTGAAAAGGCAGAACGTACAGATATTGTGGACAGATAAGTGGACTTTTTATTATATAGATGTTTCACTAATGTAAGTACTGCTTAATGGATTTTGCACGTAGTTAGACGTTTTGCTACTTGGACTTTCTGATCAGGAGGCGATGATAAGTATTAATTATAGCCACGCATTGACCCTGATTAACAAGTCATATTCACTTTTGTCTAGAAAACACGTGTATTCGTTCCTTTCTGCTATTTATATTCTTTGATTTTCTTATCGTTAAGGCATTGTATCCGATACGTTAGGTATAGACGAGTGTTTGTGTTTTTTTTATTATTATAGAGTAATGGTGTCAAACGCGCGCGCAGTCCACCTGATGGTAACTGGAAACTGGGGCCCATAGACATCTACATTTATCCTGTAAGGTACGTGAGACTAATATGGTCACCTTAAGATTTATCGCCCTATAAAACCAAAACTAGGAATAGTACAAGAGACAGAAATACAAAATCGTATACTATAACTAATATATTAAGAAAAAACTTGCAATTTCAAAAATACAACTTAAAAAAGTAACTACACTGCACAATACTAAAATCGACTTAAATATTTACTACAATAGGTATCAACTGGCAAAATAGCGTCAATAAAGCAGCGCCCTTTTGACCCTTTATTATTTGATTGACTGATGAAGAGCTATCGTATCACAGAGCCATCGATGCAAACAAGGCTGTAGCTTATGAGTTATAAGAAAGTGACCATATTAACCGGATGACCATATTACCCTCACGTACTATTATATTACAATTAAAAACGCAGATGCGCTGTCAGCTGTTACCTTTAAGGACTAAGATAGAATGCCTCGTATCAAGTAAAAATGGTGTCTGGATGTATTTCCATACTATTATTAACGACAAGATTAAGTCTTCATAATACAAAATGAGTAAAAATCATATTAGTATACGATACCGATAAATAGAAATGAGAAACAAAACCATCAGAAGAAGCGCGTATTTATGAATTCTTACAAGGCATTTCTCGCAACGTTATCGTTGTTTTCTCGTGAACTCATGGCAACACTGATAGTCGTAATAAAGGTGAACTGTTTAAGAACAATACCTGCCATGTTACACCCGTGAGAGTATCATTATTATTACGTAAACTCACGGCTGACACGGTGCGTAATCGGTAGCGAATATAGTCATAACTCATAACACTGGCTTTGAGCGCCTATTTTATAGCTGATATCGAAACGCGTTTTCTTCCAAATGTTTAATGCATGTTTATAATTAATATCATTAGTTCAATGTTGTATACTAATTGAAATTTTATCAGAGGTTTCATATTTCTTAAACACAATACACATCAACTTTTATTAGAAAAATAATATCAGAAAATTTCATTGAAGAAAACCAGAAAAATACATTCAGCTTTTTAAGTAGAAAGTTGGAGCAAGTGTTTTAATCAATCCAGCATATTAAAGAATTACCTCGAGCAACTTTACTTTAATGAATAGAATAAATTAATAGGAGGAGAACTATGCCAGCAATTAAGATTATTGCAAAAACGAAGTAACAGCCTTTTTATGTCTATGGTTGGGCAAAGGCCTCATTTCTGGGTAAGTTATCATATCATAGCTCCAGGCAGGCTTAGTCACATTGCTGACTTAGTGACAAACGAATTTACAGTCCACTTGATGATAAGTAGCTACAGCAATCCATAGAAACCTTCAAACAAAGAAAACACACAGACAACGTGAAACAAAGTATGCTACAGATGTATTGTTACCTCTGAGAGCTAAGATGGAATGACTCAACAGCAGTATAAGCAATAAGCACTGCTTTTTGGTAGCAGAATAGGTAAGAGGGAACCTACCCAGGCATAAAAAGAGTCCGGCATAATAATAATAGTTCGTAAAATTATTAATAAAATTTTATGCGATGTCGCTAGGTAGAGGTTTGCGGGCATTTTATTAAATTTTATTATTAAAAAATACAAAGTTTTGGTAATTTTAAGTTTGAACAGGTTGGCTGTTGTTGATTCGAATTTTTACTTAACTTTTTAAAAGCATACGTATTGCCTCACTATTCAAACAAGACGTGAAGTCTAAGCCAAATTGCATTACTAGCTTATTCGGTCCGTTAATACAATATTTACTAATCTATACGCACGTACGCTTACTCAAAACAATAAAGCCAGTACGCAGTACGTCGTGACTCAAGCAATTGTCGGCCGACAACGCACGACGTTTCGTAACCACAACAATGGATTCTCAAAAGTCTATTGTCTGTTAATACCCTTATCCGCTTACCTTTAGTTATTACTAATACTTAACTGCAAGCGTACGTATTCGTGTGTATTCGTGTAGTGGCGGTGTTAGAATATCCACTACCACATATCGTTATACGTGGTAGAGTCATGCTGCAGCTATATTAGTAGTATAGTTGTAACACGAATGGGTCTGCTAGACCGGGGAATTACCACGCTCTCACAGAATACCAGCGTAAAATAGCAACTTAACACTGCTGTGTTTCGCATGGTGAATGTAGAGAATCGGCGCACCTTTTAACTGGAAAAGAGGCATCAAAGCATCTGCATTTTGATTCTTTATCGAGGATAGATGTAGATGTCTATGGGTCACAGCAACCACTTACCATCAAGTGGACTGTGTGCTAGTTTGTCACCTTATCCTATAAAAAAAACTTATCGCCCCGTAGGTTACGTAAGAGGCGACAGAGGGTAACAAACTAGGAGAGGGGCAGCATTAGGAGACATTATAACAACTAGAAAATTTACGTAATAAAACGTATAAAAAAACTAGGTAATTTACAGATACGGTCTGTATACGGCAGTTATTTTGGCTCGCCGCTCACTTAGCGGTTAACCACCGTAGTCTATATCACCTGAGGATGCCTCGTGTAGAGGCGAAACACGTGTCGTATTGTCGTCAGTGGTGTGTCTTGCTTAGTGTAGTGGTGTTGGGAGTAGCGGTGCTGAGATTAGTGGTGACGGGGATAGTGCACGCAATTGAGAGAGGGCGGGAGTTACTCTTCATACTAAGTAAGACACATCATTTTATTTTATAACACGGATATTTGCTAAGTGCATTTTTTCTAAAAGCTTTTATTTATTAGAAAATTAAAAAATGTGGTTGCACACCCGCCCGCCAGTCGTGCCATTTACGGCAAATATCTCCATTATGAGATAATCTATAGGGAGGCCTTGTTCCACAGTGGACTTTGTTAGGCTATAATAATGAAAATTGTTTAATTAATGTTACTGACGAAATAGAAAGTTGACACAATCAATAATGCATTAGTATTGAAAATAACTATAGCATACAATTTGGATCAGTTACTTTAGTAGCGTTTTACAACTTAATCAGTTTTATATTAACATTTTTATTATTTGAAATCATATTTAAAAGATATATATTTTGCTGCAAGAAGCTATGACGATATTTACTAGTATACGCAATATGCATGCAATTTTTGTAGAAAAAGTTTTGGTTTTGATAACTCTTAAAATGCGTTTTAATTGACATGAGTATCAGCTACCTAATAGTCTTATAAAGGTAATATAAGATATAAATTTCTCTGAGTTCATGAGGTTTTCGCTGTCGTACAAGTAAACCTTATTGCGATCTGCCTGCCTGTGTAGAGACTTTCAATTAAAGGAATTATTAAACAAGCAATACGAATATAGCATTAACTATCCCTGTGTTATATAATCTGTAAACGAATTAGTTTCTTTTGATATTTTGGCTTATGTTAATATTTCAAACTGGTACGGAAATAGTTTAACTCACTGACAAAGAGGTCGTTGAAACTTATTCCGCTATAACTTCTTTATGAGTTGAGTAAATTCCGATGCGATGCAATAAGTGCTAAACGAAACCGGTTCTTCTTGCACATGTAGTTGTCATCTCTTGGTGGAATGTAATTTTATAACAAATATAGTTTAAATAAGTTATTATTTTAAATAACACTCCAATTAGTGACAGTCTATAATTTGTAGGTACTTGAGATTATTGTCATTTCGTAAAGTGTACTCTATGTATATTCAACATGTAATTTTTACTATATGTTCTTCTTGTCTTAATATATTATACAAATCCCGTGTCAAATATCAAATAAAATTTTGTAAATGTGTATTGATTGACTTGAGACGTAGATTAGTTTTTATTCCAATAAGTGACTCTCAATGTTTTTTTTTTTATTGCGAATGTAAGGATTTTTTATAGAACAAAGAGTCGTCGGAAAGGAAAGACTAATGTCTGCCCGGCCAGCTAGTTCAATATAGGTGTTAACCAACCGGTTTTGCTAATGACGTAAGGAACGATATATAATCGTAAGCGGTATATCAACGGTGTTTTTCATAAAGTGGTACCTAAAATTGAACCTTATATAAAAACCTCCAAGTATAAAGTTAATTAATAATATTTATTTATACATTCAAACTTTTATTGCCGTGTGAGATCTCAGGTCACTACTACTTACAATTACTCCATTTTGTTACGTGAATGTCGTAATAGACGACTTTGGCAAATGTCAGAAAGAAATTATGATCCCCGATAAATGGCGATATAATAATTTTGTTTACGACAGACGTAGAATATTCAGATTCCAGACCGCCGACGGAGAGCAGCGTCAAAGGTGCGAGACGGCTGGTAATGCATTGTGAATCCGTCAGCCAAGCATGACGACTAAAGTCTAAAGCAAATGCTTAATACAACGGCACAGGGCAATATGATATAAATATAATAGAATAACAATGGCACGGAATATAAAAAAAATATATTCCTTAAACAATGGACTTTTACTGGCAGATAAATTTTGTTTTTCGTTCCGAGCTTAAATGGCTTTCTATTCGTCAGAGGCGTTGGTCCAGAATCTTACTGACCCTTTTTTCTATATTAAATGATCCGACGTCTCCTTCTTATCTTAAAGATAACTTCCACTTTCGGTATTCAACTCTTGACCGTGAACCTCGTTCCACTAACGTCCTTAAGATTCATATACCTCAGCATAATACTAGTTTCTTTAATTCTTCATTTACAGTTCTGGCAATACTTCTCTGGAACACCCTGCCCGTTGATATAAGAATAAGCATGCGTTTAATAGACTGGTCCGACAACATTATCTTAAGGAAAACTGCATTTGACCATCAATTTCTATTTTTATTTTTAGTAGTTTATATATTATATATGCAATATTTATTATATTATTTATTATATTATTTATTATATTATATATCATTGTTTAATATTTTCATAATTATATCATTTTTCTATATGTGTTATTAGAACGAATGCGAATATATTATATGTTTATATACATTATATGACTAGTAATTTTTAACATTTTTTGACACTTACCAACTTTTACTTGTTTAATTCTCTTGGGGTTGACTGGTAGAGAATGCCATAAGGCATTAAGTCCACCCATTGTAATCCTTAATTAAGGTGTAACACGATAAAGATTAAATAAATAAATATGAGATGTATATATTTAAACGTGGTAGAGTCACACTGCAATTATATTATGGTTGTAGCACGAATGGGTCGGCTCGACCGGGGAAGGACCACGCCATAAAACGTTGCTTCGTACCAAATTTCAAGATTCTGAGTTCACGGGAAGTACCCTGTAGGTTTTGATTCCTTTGCGAATGTCGAAAATTTGCGGCATAAACGGCTGTATCTTTTGATTGCGTTGGCCTAAAAGTTTGATATTTTCACAGTTCCAAGAAACAGTAGACCTGAGTATTTGGTATGAATTTCGGACAGCAAAGTAATCCTATAAGGGTTCCGTTTTTTCCTTTTGAGGTACGGAACCCTAAAAATAAAGTGTATTTAAATTTTTATGCACATAATACGTATTAAAACGTAAAATCATTCTAGTCCATTCAACCAAATGGTTGAATGCTTACGCAAATGCCTAAGCATAGGTAAACATACAGGACAACAACAACACAAATATATTTGCAATTGGAATCCACTGGATTCAATACAGTGCGCGCGTCAAGGGCTACCATTGTAAAAAGCGGCTAATGGGACATTGGGTTTGTGATTGTGGAGGCGATGGGCTAGCCATCACTTACTTCTTTTACAATTTTCTATCTAAACCAATATTTTTGGTTGAATGTGGTCCGAGTGGATCGCTGCTCTATTGGACTCTGCCTACCTTCTCTGAGATTACACGTGATGTTTTGTATGCAAGAGTACATAATTTTTGCGGATCCTACTCAACACATATGGTGCATAGCTATCTATACATGATATTTGGTGCATTCTTGAAAAGCCTTTTAGGTCGTTAAAAAGGGGGAGATGCCCCCGAGGCAAGATGTTCAGACTAGGGAGCGGCCAACGCTTCGTATTCTTAGTATGATTCTAAAGAGATAAACACACAGGACAACAAGAACACAAACATTAAAAAAAACAGATTCCTGAATGAATTGGACTTCATAAGGATTTAATACGTAAAGTTATTCTCACCCAGTCAGCCATTTCTCTCATGTGTACACACAGGCCAACAACATAAATAAATTAAAAAAAAAACAGATTTCTAATTAAAGTGGATTCCAACGGGTATTTAAAACATAAATTCATTACTCGTATCACCCAGTCAACCATTAGACTAAGCACAGATAAACATACAGGACTACAACAATAGAAACATTTTTTCAACCTAGGTTCCTGGAGGAAGTGGAGACGAGCGCGGGCGTACAGGGCTACCGCTTCACGCCGCCGGAGGACGTGTTCGCGGCCGACGAGCACAACAAGTGCTTCTGCCCGGCCGGCCCGCCCTGCGCGCCCAATGGTCTCTTCAACGTATCCCTCTGCCAGTACGGTGAGTTGAAGCGCCGCTGTTAACTTCACGTGTCACGGCCGATTGGCTTGAAAATTTGCACAAAAATCAAGGGCCGATGATAAGACAACAATTTCATAACTTTATCATCAGTGCGTGTTGTTTAAGTATTTTTAAACTCTTATACTATTTAATAACTACAGGCTCTGAAACATTGTAGTTGTAATGTCTATTTACTGTCCTTTTGAATTTTGTTAACAATTATATAACATTAATAACATTGTTTATTCCATTGTGCTCCTCAGCGATGCATTGTAATGTAACATTTTTTGACTGTGTTCACGGGCTATTGTAGCGAAATACAATTAAATGACCTGTTAGCTGTTAGTCTAATTATCCAAAAGGTCACTTACCTAATAATATAATAGATAATATCAGCTATAATTTATCACATTAATGTTATAAAGAAAAATATATCTCTGTATGGTTCGCGGCCTTATAATCGCTCATTGTTGCTTGCTTAAAAATGAATTACCGCTATATAGTATCTTTCTATTACCATTTTGTGAAAAAAGAAAAAGAATTTTAAGCACTGCTTAAATTGACGTCAATTATTCTAAAATTCTATCTTTTCACTAAATAAGTATAAAAAGTGACAAATAATTCTTAATTTATAGCAATAGTACATGATTTTTTTTTGTAATATTGAAGTGACAAACGAACTTTCAATTCACTTAAGTTGTCATAGGTCAGTAAATAGACAGCGAACTACAGAAAAAAGGAAGATACGTTATCACCTTTGAGGACTGAGATGGAATGCCTCACTGCCTGTAATGAGGGCATCCACGACTTTTCTGCCACCAGGGTGACGCCACTATAAAGTGAAGTATAATATTTGACAGATTTCACAGTGGGGAAGTTAATTTTTTTCGGAAAATGTAAAAGTTATTGTTTCTTTTTGTACTATATATGTATATTTTATATTAATAACATTAAAAATAAATAAACCAAACCACAGATGTTCATATAAGTAGAAAAATTTAAAAAAGTTGGAAATGTGCAAAAAGTTAAAGAGCAAACCACTGACACCCTAGAAACTAATAAACGTTTATTAAAAAACAACTTCTCAATTTCTTTCTTTTCAAAGCTTGAAGCACTACAAATTAGATTTTTAAAGTTACTAGTTAATAAAAAAAAACTAAAGATATTTGTTAAGGTGATTACACAAAATTGTTCAAAATCTGCAAAATACTCCCAGTAAGTTTAAAACATAAGTATTTACTTGTCTTAAATAATTACAACTGTCGAGAGCGTACTCTAATACTATTTAAGCATGGTCAGGGTACACGGTCGATATCTGCAGCCAAATTTATAGTACCTAAAGTAAATAATTACTATGGGGACAGAACTTTAAAGAAAGGTCTACCGTACTTTCTCAATACACTGCCTGAGGATATTCGACGTGAACCAGTAAAAAACATATTTAAAAACAAATTAAAGCAATACTTATTGGCTAGTCTTGGTGCTTAACTTTAACATTATTATGTAAATGAAACTCAAATGTTCCTGCAGTTAAACTGCGTAAGCAGTTTTGCGGGAATATGTATATTAGAAACCAAACTTTGCACTTTTAATAATAAATAAATAAAAAAAATTAAGTTACATTGTGTAACAAAAAACTTTATCTCAGTGTCAGTTAGCGAGTAGCGACATCTGGTGAGCAGAAAATTATTAGCCCCTCATTACACTGGCTCCCTATACCTTAACGAACACAGCAGTGCACGCACTACTGCTTAGCGCCAAAAATAGGTAATTGGGTGGTGCCCACCCAGACGAACTCCTAGAAGGAAAGGAGTCCCACCAACTAGTATGGTATAAAATATGGAGAAGAAAGGTTCTGGTAAAGAAAAGTTCTCGGGTAAGTGTTCTCGAGTGACAGCCTCGTAACGGTAAGAGAAGTGTAGAGCGACGCCCCACCAGAAAAAGTTACGACCTGATAAGAGATGTGAAAGTTGATCGATACAAGTGCTTATGTTCATCAGTGGACTTACGAAGGGATTCCACAACTGAACACAAGGCTTTTTTACCATTACGGTATTTTTAGAGGTGGATTTCGGACCCATTCGTTTTTACTAACTCGAGCCATAAATATAGTTGCAGCATTGCTCTATTATTCGCTATGCGTGTACACGGGCTAATGATGGAGAAGATATTATATAGTCTTTGATATGAACATTTTAAAATTTTGCTGTACATAATAAAATTGCTTTATCTAATTTACCGTTTTTCATAGTAATTTTTGTGATGCTTCCAGACTCTCCTATTATGCTATCATTCCCGCATTTCTATCTTGCGGACGAGAGCCTCCGTGATGCTGTAGAAGGAATCTCCCCACCTGTACCCGAGAGGCACCGACTCTTCATTGATGTGCAACCGGTTTGTACATTATTTGTTATTTTATACATTTATTTTTAATAAGTGTTTATAGGATTAGTAATAATAACGTCCAGGTATCTTCTGAAATCAGACAGAGAGTTGAGTATGTTCGCCATATTTATTTATGCTGAATCGATGGGGTTACATTTGCCAAAATCCGACGACTAGTTTGAGATTCACGGGTCATAGAAACGAAAATTAAATTCCAGCTATAAATAATACGGTACTTTGGACTTCGTCGCAGTCGGATTAAAAGCTGCAAAAGTATACCGTCCACAAAGAAGGATCGAGTCTGAGCATCGATAATTTTTTACGTTCGAATCGTTGGCAATTTAAATTTAATTAAATCACAGTGTGAGTTAAATACAATGTAATTTAATAAAACAATGTTTTCTTTGTAACAGGAGATGGGCATCGCTATGAGGGCACGAGCGCGCATACAAATTAACCTGGCGGTATCCCAGGTCGTGGATATCAAGCAGGTCGCAAACTTCCCCGATATCGTCTTCCCAATTCTCTGGTTCGAGGAGGTGAGTGCAAATAGAATAAAATTAAAACCGAATTTTCTACCAGCCTGTAAATATTCTTCTCCATGAGCGTCTCTTTTCCTCATTGGAAATTATTTGATGTTTTGCTCATATGACATTGCTTCGCATCACCGCTCCAGCCCTATCACGAGCGCCGCGAGTGACGAGGCGAGCTGCGAGGCGAGCCACGAGCTAGCGTTTACTCTCGCGTCTCGCGTCTCGTGGCTCGCCTCGCGACTCGCCTCGCCGCTCGCGCGAGAATGTAAACGGGGGGTCACATACGGTATGAGTGCAAGGTCACACCGCCATATGCCGGAGACATATAACACCAAACCTATTGGAAAGAAAGGATTTTATAAATGTTTCTTTCATTCTTAGAATTTTTGGGATTGATAGACAAGTCAGAGAGAGAACAATGGGCAGTCCCATATCAATGAGGTTTTCGTAATCTCTAAAGCCCGGTTTCCACCGCGAGCGGAACGGACCCATTAATTACTCCTTTTACCTCGCAATACAAAACCAACAAAGAGTCGAGTGTAAATGACAACGAGGGCGAAAAAGAGTAAAAATGAGCTGCGAACTCGGACCGGAGTCATTAATAAGTCCTTTCAACTCGCAATTGAATTTTACAAAGTAGTGTTTCCACCGAAAAAGAGTTGAGCGGTGCGGACCAAACGAGTAACATGTGTCCGCTGCGTCGCGGTCTCGCCGACTAGTTTGAAACGGACTCGCTCGACGCTGCCGTTTTAAAATTTAAAATTTTAAAATGTCGCCCTTTACAAATGATAAAAGTTCTTGAAATTGTTCTCTGCTAACCCTGTAATAGTTCTTAAATTTTTCGTCATCCAAATTATTGAATAGCCTATATTCCCCTTTCAACGTTCTTTCTTGAATGTGCCGACATAACCAAAATCTCCGTTTTGCACGTTTTTTTTCTGTGGTTAGGATATAATAATATATACCTTTTCTTTCGGTATACATAATCACTGTCCTCACTTGATTCCGTGTCACTCGATAACATCGCGAATTCACACAACAAAACACAACCGCACGTATCCAGTTCAAAACTCCAACTGAACTCGCTCTCGGTGGAAATTGACTATTCATTTCCCATTTCTCATATTCCGTTCAGCTCGCTCCGCTGGTTCCTCTCTGTCGTTATCCGTTTGCAGTAGAAATCAACAAACAAAACACTTTGTTGGTGGAAATGCAAACTTATTTTGTTTAAAAGGAGTCCGTTCCGCTTACCATTTCCCACTCATTACCCTTCCGCGGTGGAAACCTGGCTTTAAGATTAACAACCTTAGAAACAAATAAGAATAAACACTTGTTAAGTCTTATGTTGGACTGGGACTTTTGACAGAAAAGAATGTGTTATGTGTGTTACTCGCCTAGCGTGTCGTAAAAGGTGACGAATGGGATATTGAATTTTTGATTTTGTGTGGCGCTGCAGTCTATATTTGATAGGCGTAAGAAAAAGCAAGTTGCCCGAAAATATATATTTTACTCTATGCCAACATTTTTCTATGATATCATTGTTATATCTACAATAGATTGAACACTAAATTAAAAAAATAAGTAAAAACCGACAACAAAAGAATTAAAAAAAATTTAACACTCCCCGAGTTCAGAAGCTATTAAATTATGAAGAAATTATTTTATTCCTTTATTAATTTTATTAATTACTAAATTATTTCTTTTCAGGGTATCAATGAACTTCCCGAAGAAGTGACGTCGTTACTGAGACTAGCCACCAAAGTGCCCCCGATCGCCCGTTCGGCTCTCGGGTGGGGACTGTCCGCGCTCGGCATTCTTCTCATATTGCTGGCCGTCACATGTCTCATCAGGTGAAAACTGCAGCCTTACGTATGATATATTATGATACTAGATGGAGTGACGACCTCGTAAAACATGCAGGAAGTCCATGGATGCAGGTGGCTCAGGACCGTGCTTTGTGGCATTCCTTGGAGGTCTATGTTCAGCAGTGTAATTGTGGAGAGCTCTAATGATGATGATGACCCTTACGTATATTGGCCTCTATCAAGTTATGGTTCTAATCCATTATCTATCTGTGTTTGAAGACTGCCCATCTGATAATAAAATAGAGCACACAAATATCTTCTTATTCATCAGCCCATATTATTTATTTAATAACTAGCTACCCGCCCCGGCTTCGCACGGGTGATTTCTGAATATTTACAACAGCGCACCTACTAAGTGAATCTAAGCCACCCAGAAACCCACTCAAACATACACACAAAAATTCATCAGAATCAAAAATCAGTTAAAATAATGCATTACCAAGCATTTTGAATTTAAAAGATAAAAAGGACAGATTGTTTGAGATTTTTTTTTAATTAAATTTTCATTACCATTCGCCTATATTACTTGCGCGCCATTATTAATGTCTTGTACATGGCAACACTAGTTACCACTAGCGCCCTCTAGTATCGAGTAGCAGAACTAGGAGAGTCAAGATCCTTCTAGAAATTTCGGGACCAATATGTACTCGAACATTCTAGATGTTTCTACAGTAGAAGGTTCTGGAAACTATCTGAGGCCCTATATAAGGCCGGTATAGACCACAACTGAGTCAGTATTGATTTGCGATATAAGTGAATACTTCGAAGCGATATAACTGCGAACTAAAGTGATCAGTAGTACAATTATGTTTTTTTTATTAGTGTGGTTTTAAGTTGTAATTAGTGTTCTGTAATTAAAGTGTCAATTTTGATAATTTAATCGGCAGTTTTTAATTGTTTCGAACCCCAAGCTCGTAACATTACTTATTCTGAACCTTCTCTGCAAATTTGGCCGTTTATGCAAAATAACCCTGCATACTTGCAATATGATATACAATTTCGATAAATCCTTCCTCGGCTCGGCTCCTTGACGCAGTGGCTTAGCAATAAGTTGCAGCGCTAAGGGTCACAGGTTCCAATCCCGCACGGAACAAGTATTTGTATGGTCTACAAGTAATTGTTCCGGGTCTGGATGTTTGCCCTTGTGAAATTTATGTATGTAAACTGCCCCCACAATACAGGAGAAACTCCTAGTATGGAGGTAACGCTTTTTAAAAAAAAAAAGAAAAGATATAATGTATGTTAATATATTAAATTCCACTGCTAGAAATGCACTTCTCCCGTTGCTAGGATTTATTATCACCTCAATAGGAAGGCCAATTAGCATCGCAGCAGGACTACTAGTACTAATTATACAGAATATATTTATAAAATTGTTATTTTCAGGTCCTCACACCGCCAAAGCACTTTAAGGCTCGAGGGACACGTGGTGGCCAAGCCGCCCCCAGCGAAAACTCCTAGCAAAGAAAATGGCTACGAATTAAACAACAGGAGATAACTGTTACGTAATTTTAATTATATTGACAATAAAAATACTTCATTACATAAATAATAACTGTCTTGAGACTGACAATATTAGACACGTATTGATATTGACTGTTAGATTTTGACATATAGCATAGAATATATTTTTTTAATAACTGGCTTTAAAGCTCTGGGTTCTAGCCCTTCTGAACCTGAAGTTACAATGTATTACTATCTTTCATAGTACACTGCTTCACAATATGTTGATGCGTCACATTGTGCAGCCCTTGGGAGATTTTGACGGCAACTTGAGCCAGCAGACAGCTGAAAGTTGACGATGGTATCTCAAGGCTTCTAAGCAGACAAACCTTATCTTTAGAATCACAACATCATTAGAGCACAAACTTGTTTGACCGTTTTCACTAATAGTTCACATGCGCGCAGACATTTTAATACACAAAATCGCACCACTTTTATATATCAAAATCCACTTCAAACCATTATTTAAACAATAATCCGTCGCCGGTCAAGTTCCCGCCAAAACTCCCATAGAGTATAAAGAATACTGTAGACCACAGAGCATATAATGACTACGTTTTTGTTGTGTTTTATTTTTTGTTAACTTTTATACATTTTACAAAGAGGAAGAATTAAATCCCTCAGTCTTGAGACAGTTTGCTCTATGCAAAACCAAGAATGACAGTAGAATAAAAAAATAGTTCAATTATATGAAAATTAAATATTATATTCAACAAGATTAGTTTGGCCGTCAACAATAAAACATCTTTGGAGATACCAAATTGTAACACTTTTGATACTAAAACTGTTAAATGAAATCGTTTATTCCTTACCCTTTTAATATTCTTTCACATATCATACACGATATAAGATGAGACGTTGAGAGCATCTCTTTCTAAACATAAAAGTTAAAACTTAAATTATTTTTAATACTTCAAACATATGACGAAAAGACAAGCAGAATCTCACAATTTAACTATTTATCTTTTTCTAGCTGTATCTTAAAATTGAATATACTGAGAAAGATGATAGCATATACTATTTTTACTCTCGGAAACTTCAATATATTGTACATATTGATTAAAACATATTTTTTTTTAATGACAGTTTAATTTTAACGTCGACATATCAATAAACAATATTTTTTGTAAATTATTTATTATCCACATAACCGATTTTTTGAACTGTTAGTAGCTTATAGTTTATAATTTTAGTAAGCGTTCGGGGATTATGCTATTATGTAAATTTTAGCATTTTTATTTGTGTAGGTACCACCTTGTAATGATACTTTACGATTTACATTTATTTCTTTTTATTTTTAGTCTTTTACATCGACGAATGTGATAAATGTTATTATTCCAATTATAGTTATTTTTATAATGAACAAATTTTAGAATTATATTTTTATTTAAACTTGGACTTGATCTTGGAAAAAAAATCTAAAATTTCATCAATCAGTATCATATTAGTAGATAAATTCTCGACTTTTTATACTCACTGGCATTAGGGCTCATTCTCTACTGCATTCCTGTTTGGAACTATATCTGTAAATATATTACCATAAAATAAAAACTACGGTAAGAAGTGTTGCCAGCTTGAAATTATTACCAATTTAGAAGCATGTGCTCGTTTTAGTTAATCGTGAAAAACATCGTACTAACATAGTCATAATTACGATAATGTCTGGACCAAATGTAACAATACCATAGATGTTAATGAATAAAAGTGACTCGATGTGTCTGTTCACGAAGAACTCTTTTATTCATACAACGCGACTTGAACTTCTATACCAGGTTTTAAAATGTTCTATAAATATTATACATTTTAGTTTAATAGCATTACCGATAGCTACTAGTCTAATTTCATGGGTCCGTCCTTTAATTCTTAGGTGTAAAATTAACTTTTACCACATTACGTAGTTTAAACTTATTGCGGATTGGTTAGAAATTAAGTTAGTCATTCTTAACGTAACATTTAAATTTGAATCTATACGGTGCATTAAAACTAAGCCAAAAATCCTTAATTGGAAATGAAAAGTTGATAGAGATTCAGTTATGGCCGAAGCTCATCAAATGCGTGCACAGCACGTATGTGTTGCTACTGCGTTTAATATGACAACTGCATGAAACACTTCAATAATGCACACGTGCTAAGCACGTCACGGGCACAAATAAAGGGTGTGTTGTGCCATCGAGTGTTACTATGAAATCATTTAGTATGTCTAAATGTCAACACACAAAAAGACAATTTAGTTAGTATCATACTTTTTTTCTATATACCACTTGACCACATTACAATATTATAATGACATTTAATTTCTATATTTATTATTAGTTTCTTAATATAATTATTAAAACCACTACTTTGAAATTATTAAGAAGTTAAAATATCATTGGTGACTGGCTGAGCTGTTTTTATTAGTAATATTTTGTATATAAAATGTTATAATACTTAAAAAATTTGCAAGACTATTTTGTGACTATTTTATTGGACGAGTTTGTAAATTTGTCAACACTTTTCCACTCCAATTAAGCTAAAATTGAAGCCATTATAGAAGCAAATTTAAGTTTGGCTTAATCTTATTCGCCAACATGTAAGTGTTGCCATTTTGTACCTATGGTTATTGCTCAAATCTGTACTTAATGTTTCTTAAATTGTTTAACCTATGAGAATGTTAAAATTATGCATTAATGTAAATAAAGAAATAAAGGTGTAAGTTATATAGATGATATTTATTTCATTATACCCACAAACAGAGAGAATGGACTAAGCGTTAGCCTCACAAAAGTGACCATCCTCTAGAAAGTGACAAAGCGACTGTGTGGGCAATACCTGTCTCTCCTACAACCCTGATTGGTGCACGTCCTATAAGCCAGTGACGTGGCCCAATCAGAATTCTCTTCTTCGAGTGCCTCTCCAACTAGCGAAGGTTGGCAGTCAGCTTTGAATACTACTTCTTGTTCTTTGCAAGGCGAAAGAGCTCGGCAGCGCTCCTGATTCCCGACCATTCTCGGATGTTGCGCAGCCAAGACTTTTCCTTCGGCCAACAGCTCTTCTTCCGGCAACCTTTCCCATCATAATGAGTTGCAACAGTTCATATCTTTCATGCCTAAACACGTGTCCGAGATATGCAACTTTTCTTTTCTTGACAGTCTCCAAACGTTGCCGTTTCTGGCCTTCAACCACTTCTAGAACTTCTATGCTCGAGATCTTTTGAGTCCAACTAATGGCCAACATACGTCTATATGCCCACATCTCGAAAGCTTCTATAAGTTTCATGAGGTCTTCTTTAATTGTCCACGCCTCGCATCCGTAAAGAAGTATAGGCCAGATGTAGCAATGTAGAAGTCGTACGCGCACAGGGATCGTAAGTCTGCGATTGCAGAGTACTTTTTTTAACGTGCAGAAGGCACTTCGAGCTATTTCTATGCGAGTATTTACCTCCTATTCACAGCTCCAGGTGTCATTAAGCCATGTCCCTAGATATTTGTACTTGCGCACCTTCTCAATTTTTCGACCCGCTACAATGATATCAATGTAAGAATTCTAGAAAGAGGCAACTACTGGCCGCACATTCGCTTTGTCTCTCGCACTTTTCGGTCTGTATTCACTGCACAGCTGAATACGGAACGCACAGTCCATTCTCTCTATGTCTATGATTATATCCAAATACCTTAGAGTGAGAATGTACTCCCTCAGCCCTCTACGCCAAACTCCTGTCACCTCCAACTCTTGTCATACCATTGGCAGCTCAAGTGATAGCTCAAGGACTAAGTTTCTAGAGCGTGCTTTAGCTTTGCTTTAGCGTGTACCGATTTTACTCCACGTGTACTGGTTTAGTTATAGTAGAGGATCCGGCTTGATAAAATACCCCCTCATTCTTTTCCTTTAATGAAATATTTTTTTATCATAAAATATATAAATAAATACAAATCGGGGTGATTGACAGCCTGTTTTGGCAAGGCTATTTCTAATTAAAACTTATTTAATTATTTCATTTACCGTTTACGGTCATTCCTTTCCTTGATAAAATTGGTCTCAATCGAATAAAATATATATGGAAAATGCAATAGCATGGTTGACTACCTTTTTTTATGCAACAATACCTGTCTACCAGGTATAAACAGGTAAACTGACATAGTAATTTACCCTCATTCTTTTTCCTAAAAATTAAATGTGTAAATATAGATATTTTTATTGCGAATCCAATGGCATATGGTTGACTTTTCAAATCGTGGCAAGAATAGTTTTTTTTTTAATAGGAGAGGGGGCAAACGAGGCTCTCCTGATGGTAAGTAACTACCGCCGCTCATGAACAACTGCAACACCAGGGGAATTGCGTTGCCGGCCTTTTAAAAAGGGGTAAGCTCTTTTCTTGAAGGTCCCTAAGTCGTATCGGTCCGGAAAATCACTAGTGGTAATCGATGCCACAAGGAACTTGTGCGAGGAAGAAAACTTCCTCTAAATCGCACAGTGGTGGACCGCCAATCATTCAGATGGTATGGATGGTAGTTTTGTCGCAATATGCGATGGTGAAATCGAGTGGCTGGAATTAGTCCCAATAATTCCTCAGACACTCCCCGTGATATATGCGATAAAATACACATAGAGATGCAACATCTCTACGCAGTGCCAGTGAGTCGAGCCGATCAGAAAGAACTCGGTCGTCGACGATTCGAACCGCTCTGCGCTGGATGCGGTCAAGTGGAAGGAGCTGGCACTGGGGAGCCCCTGTCCAGAGATGGGAACAGTATTCTATCTGAGGCCTTGTAAAGTTGTAAGCGGTGTACCGGCATGAAATACTGTCCGGCTCTGCTGAGGACGCCAAACTTTTTAGAGGCCAATTTGGCCTTCTCTTCCAAGTGACCACGAAACTGCTCATCACTCGCTGGCTGAGGCAACAAGGGAAAAAGTAAGGTAGCTTGGGCGTGGATGCTCAACGAGGGATTCTCCAGGGATGCTGGTACCCTCCTGGGGTAGTTATATATTTAATTCCGCTACCATGTTGATGGGATG